GAGGGATTCTTAAAAAAAGAGATCGTGAACCCTTTCTAATATTTAACTATCACTTTGTAGATCTAAATTATTAAAAATCCATGTTGAGAATCTTTTGATGAAGGTGGTTTGAATTTTTGCCAAATGTGGTTCTCTCCATTATTATTTATTTCCCTTGGCCAAGATTATTCTCAAACTTTTTTTTTTTGATAAGCTTGATATCAAAGAAAAAGTTTGAGAATAATCTTGGCAAAGAGAATACTGGACAGGTGATAAAACCGATAACATGCATTCCTTCAAACTTGAATCTTACTAACAACAAACTGATAAATTTCTTCACCAAAGTGATAAAACGGATTAAGATCATCAAAAGGACTTTGAAGAACAAATTTATGGCTCTTCTCGGTGACAGCGAGAGCAGTTTCTGACTTCTTCACAGATGGATTTCCTTCGATTTCTTTATCTTCTCCGATTGAAGTCTCCACCTTCGCCTTCGTTGCTTGGATAAGCCGATCCCAACGGATTGGAACGTTTTCAGGACATATCATATTTAGGGTTTCTGTGTGCCGTACATTTAATTTGCTTTTAATATTTTCTTGCCTTTCTAAATTCTGATATCTTTCTTTTTCCTTAACGCTTTATTTCTTTTTTTATCAACGGTGCCTATTGGCATCTCTCTGGGCCTCAAGGCCCCTTGTTCAAACTTTGGTTGATTAATTAAAATTCTGATATTCTTAATGTAAATCAGACCAATTATGTTAAATCTAAAAACTCCAAACTGTTAGCATTCCACCATAATTTGATTCATATGTAAGCTACTCTAATGTCACACTATCTCTTTGTTACGTGATGAATGTAGAGAATGTATTCGAGATCAAACATGCTGAAGCTTAAACTTTAGCTTGAGACCAAAAATTACATTAATATGGACACAACTTCTCCTTCAAGAAAAAAAAAAACAAGAAGCTTATTACAAATCCCATTAGCTCTTTGGATTATTAAAAATTTCACCATATCTAATATTCACTAAACCCTCTATG